TGATACGTTATTGAAGAATATCTTAAAGTGGTGATCCAAACTATTCCTGATAGGTTGTTGAAGAACGTCTTAAAGTGATGATCCAAACTATTCCTGATATATTGTTGAAGAACGTCTTAAAGTGGTGATCCAAACTATTCCTAACAAATAGGGAACTAAAATGAATTAAAGACTGAATTACGTACTATGGTTGGAGAACTATACACAGCCATGGCTTATGTGTAACCTAACGCTGTAATACAAAATTATACTCTGATAAATGGAGTTTGCTTAACACACACACACAGATAATTGTGTGTTTGTATAAGAAACACACAACATTATTACATTTGGTTTGAATATCATAACATAAAAAACACAACAATATTATATTTGGTTTGAATATCATAACATAAAAACACAACAATATTATATTTGGTTTGAATATCATAACATAAAAACACAACAATATTATATTTGGTTTGAATATCATAACATAAAAAACACAACAATATTATATTTGGTTTGAATATCATAACATAAAAACCATAACAATATTATATTTGGCTAGAATATCATAACATAAAAACACAACAATATTACATTTGGCTAGAATATCATAACATAAAAAACACAACAATATTATATTTGGTTTGAATATCATAACATAAAAACACAACAATATTACATTTGGCTAGAATATCATAACATAAAAACACAACAATATTACATTTGGCTAGAATATCATAACATAAAAACCACAACAATATTACAGTTGGTCAGAATATCATAATATAGAAATAAACAAGTAACAATATCACACCTGGTTTGAATATCATAACATAAAAACACAACAATGTTATATTTGGTTTGAATATCATAACATAAAAACACAACAATATTATATTTGGTTTGAATATCATAACATAAAAACACAACAATATTATATTTGGTTTGAATATCATAACATAAAAACACAACAATATTACATTTGGCTAGAATATCATAACATTAAAACCACAACAATATTACAGTTGGTCAGAATATCATAATATAGAAATAAACAAGTAACAATATCACACCTGGTTTGAATATCATAACATCTGTGAAAGAGAAGAGCACCGAACCATCTATTTGACAAAATATTACAACATTTTAATAATATATTTATTTTGAAAATGTCTGTTACTTTTACCATATCTATTAAAACAACTATAACGTTCAATGGTTTGTGATTCTTTGTGACATATAGTAAACATATAACATAGTTGTAAAACATGCCAAGGAACAAGAATGCCAATTCTCTTTGTCCGTACTTTTATACTACAGGTGTAAATTTTGTTTTTGTTTGTAAAATCTGACACTGTGACAATATTTACATTAAGCTTTTAAGTTGCTTTATCAAAGAAATACTTGTTTTAAAATTGATAATATATTTATCTAAATATAGGTATGATCGTTCAACCTAACGATAAAATCTTGATTCAGACGATTGCTGTAAACAAATATAACATGAACGACCACGAAGTTAAGAAGTTATGGAAGAATATTTCTCCCGAAAAAATCTTCGATCAGAAGTAATTACTGTTAATGTTTGTTCATGTTATGTGTGCATATTTTTTGTTAATGTTTGAAATCTGTTATGAAATGAAAACTGAAACGGGCGGGATCCGACCTCGCAACTCTGTATCACCTACCTGTTTAGTAAGTGGATTTTAACTCTAAAAAGTGCCACCCAGTGGCGCAGCGGTATAATGCTAGAAACCGGGTTTCGATACCCGTTGGGGCAGAGCATAGATAGCCCAACGTGTAGCTTTGTGTTTAATTCCAAAGAAACAAACAAACCCTAAAAAACCTATTGGTTAAAAAATCCTCGACAATGTTAGGCCTAGCGATACAATAAGGTAAACACTAATATATCTGCGCTGTAAGTATTGTTACTGGTTCGAACCCCGCCTACTATTGGACAGTTTTGAACTTCAGGGTGATACACCTCATATACAATTTAAACAGTTAACTCGGCCAAAAGCCCAAAAGCATACCTTGTTCTTTCGACAAAAGGCTTCGTATCTCTTGCTAAGTTTTATTCAATAAATGTGATTATTTCATAGGTCATGAGAAATTTAGGCTTATAAGTAAAAAATACAATAATATATGTCATAATATTGTACGTAAAAATATAAAATTTCAGATTAAGGAACAAAATAGGTTAAAAATTAATTTTAAATTTGAATTATGGGTATTAGTTTCCTCTAATAATTAATCGCTTTAGTTATGAATATCTCAGTATAAGCAGGGTACGTTGAGGATGAATTAATAATTATTTCAGATTTAATTAAAAAACAGAACATATGAATTAATAGAATCGGTGAAGGCCTAGTTGTTCGCGTATCGGGCTGCGTATCGAAGGGTCCGGATTCGAAACATAATTAATACGCTCCGCACATTCAGCTTTTGGGGGCGTAAAATAGTCCCGTTATTAGTTCAAAAAGCTGAACAAAAGCCTTATGGTAACAGGCACTGCTCATTGACTGTCTTCCCTCTGGTCAGTAGTTGCTGTTCTGAGTCCTAGGGATCCCCGACCCGACAGTTTGGCCAATGTGCCTCTTATGAGGATTTTCTAGTTGATAATTAGTATTCCGATTACTACTAATATAATAAAACACTGACCTAAACGATTTTGATTGCACGAAAAGTGAAATAAATTTTAAATTTGTGGATAGAAGAAGAACGTCTCCGTCATGTGTTTAAAGTTTTAATTAAATCCATCCCCCAAACCAGTCAAATATTGTATGTTTGCTGTCTTCCGTATACTGTTTACTTATATCGGAAGCTGGCCACCAAACCACAGACAAAATGATAAAAAATGAAGTTGTCATTATAAAACCTTAAACTCATTTAGAGAGAGAGACAAATGTAAATAACACAGGCCTAAAATGGTTTTATAGTCTTGAAATTTTTACATGTTCTACAATAATTTATGTACGCTGAATCCGAAAATGATATCCATTTTTCTCCACCACGTACAGATTTTTCACCAAACAAATCAACGCAATACATAAAAGAAAGACCATATGATTGTCGATTTATCTTTGTTTGTTTTGTTTGTTGAATTTTGCACAAAGCTGTTTGGGGGTTGTGTTTAACGGGTAGGTTTAAAGGTAACATGACATACAACAGTCAGCATCATGTAAACGAGAACATATTTTTGAGTCCACAACTGTTGAAGATAAGGTTTTTAACACCACATTTTGTCGTGTTAATGACTGGTTTGCTTCTCTAGTTTAATCTATAAAACACTGAGATTTTTCAGTCCATAATTTACCATGTTTAATATTAGTTTATTCCTTTAGTTCAATTTATAAGCCAATGATAATTTTCACACCGGATTTTACCAAGTTTGATATTGGTTTACTCCTTCAGTACAATTTATATAAACTGACGTTTTTCACATCGGATTTTACCATGTTTAATATTGGTTTACTCCTTCAGTACAATTTATATAAACTGACGTTTTTCACACCGGATTTTCCCATGTTTAATATTGGTTTACTCCTTCAGTACAATTTATATAAACTGAGATTTTTCACACCAGATTTTCCCATGTTTAATATTGGTTTACTCCTTCAGTACAATTTATATAAACTGACGTTTTTCACACCGGATTTTACCATTTTTAATGCTCAATCTCCCTTTGTAGGTCAAGTTTGAAATCTTCTTGTTTTTTTGTGATTAAAGGACTTTGAGACGTTTGGAAATCAAACAAATTTTCTAGAAACTTTTTAGTAACACGACAGAAGTTATCTCAATCATCAAAATAACACCAAGATGACCCTAGATTCAAGACGAGTTCGTGGTTGTGTCATAACTTATTCGTTAGAAAATTTGGGCCTTTGAATACAGACCTATTTTCAGGTCACTTTATTGAAAGGTCATTTTAATTTCCTTCTTAGAAACATATATATTGAAATAGTTACGAATTATCTGAAGGTATTTTAGTTTTCAAGGATTTAGTTTATAAATATGTCGATAGATGGCAGAAAAGTAATATTTACAGATTAATATTCCTGTGATCTGCCCACTGCAAGTATCGAACTCTGATTTTTAGAGTTTTAAGCTGTCAGACATACCGTTGAGCCACCGGTATATTTTATCTTTGTTTGTGTTATTCGAAGCTGAATTTTAAACTCATCTAATTAAGTAATGAAAACCTGTTGACTACTATTGTGGCTCATTACTAATCAACTTTTGGCCTCACGAACCTCGGTAGGCTCCTTAATTTGCTCTTATAGGCCTGGTTCATGTTACTAGTCTCCGTACTATTCCATCTTAGGCCTTATATGTCTCGATAGTTTCTTAAATTTGTTTTTATAGGCCTCGTTCGCTCTACGTCTCCTTGCTAATCTATTGTAGGCCTCATACGCCTTGCTAGTCTCCTTAATCTGTTCTTATAGACCTTAAACTCCTTAATAATCCATTTTAGTCCTCATATGCATTGCTAATTTCTTTCATTAGTCTTCTTACCAACCCATTTGTTACTCCTTATGCCAATAAGGATAATGGTGTGAATTTGGCATATCTGGATTTTAAGAAAGCATTTTACAAGGTGCCACATAAAAGGTTTGTTAAAAATTATCTTCGTAAGTGAGGGGAATAATTTGACTCATTGGATACAAAAATGGTTGGACAGAAGGAATTAGTGGGTTGCCACAAATGGAATTAAGTCAAACTGGAGTAATGTCACAAATGGAATATCTCAGGGCTCAGTGTTAGGACCTTTGTTCTTTTTGATTTACATCAATGAAATACAGGAAGGACTGGTCAATAAATAACTTAAATTTGCTGATCATTTGGTGAGTTGGCAAATAAATGACAGGAGACTTTTAATTATAATAAATGCAAGGTAATGCATGCGAATTTCAGGCTTCAATTTGTGAAAGAGCAAACTCTCTTTTACAAGATATTAGATATGACGACAACGTCACATTATTTTAGGGCGTGTCCAAGTACATTAGCCTTATGGGATCTTAGTGTAACATGTTCTTTTATTCTCTCTATCAGTCTTTTTGCTAACATCAAGGACTAGTTAATTTATCAGCTAGAAATGGTGGTTGGAAAGCTAAAATTCAGTCGTTCAATAAAAACAAAACAAAAAAATATGACAACAATTAGATTTAATTACACATCTAATTTGTATTTGAGGATGCACCCTTTCAACAATATTTTTAACCTATTTTTATCAATTAAAGAATATTTATCCATATATATGATAAATTGATAATTATAGGATACTTCAAATATATTTGGTGTACAAAACACCTAATTTGGTTAAATACTGTTTCATCGTAATTATTTGCACACTTTTACCCATTTAGTGTAGTGCGTAGAACAGCGGTCGCGAGACTGTAATAAGACGAACATGTATATACGAGAACCCTAGATAACCTTCTTCGACTGATTCTTCAGGTTAACGTGCAGCTTTCAATTTCAATCGGAACTTCCACCATCTGAATCTTTGGATGTACAACAACAGTCATCATTTATTTCGCCATCATCACTGGCAGTCAATATGAGCTCACAGAAACAGGTTGTGGAGAAAGGGAGTAGATCTGAAGACAAGGAACTTATTGAAAAGGTATAGATTTAATACTAGTGTTCTTTCCTGTATGCGAAAAACTATTGATTCTAATAACACAATCGATATCCATTAGTCTAGACATAACTCTCCTTTCCCTTACTCGTAACACAATTTATATCCACTAGTCTAGACATAACTTCATTTCCCCTAATCATAACACAATTGCTATATCCTCCAGTCTAGATATCACAATTATTTTTCCCTGTGTTCGCTACATGACAATGTTTTATTTCCATATCTTAGCTGTATACTCTTTCCTGCAAACAAACACTGCTGATGTTTCCTCTGAACATAGCACTACTACCTTTTCCTTTAAACACCTAACAATTGTTACATCCTTTACACGTACCATAGCACTACTGCCCTTTCCTTTAAACACCTAACAATTGTTACATCCTTTACACGTAACATAGCACTACTGCCCTTTCCTTTAAACACCTAACAATTGTTACATCCTTTACACGTAACATAGCACTACTGTCCTTTCATTTAAACACCTAACAATTGTTACATCCTTTACACGTAACATAGCACTACTG